TTCCTCGCTGCACAGGCAGCGAAAATGGCCATGCTAGATGGTGAATTTCAAGCCCCTAGGAACGCATTAATCGGGTTTTAATGCATTTATATGGGCTTTTTAAAATCGCATGACGACGTTTTCATTTTACAGCGATTTCCCTGGAACAAATTAATGTCGTAATGCGAGGCACCACTGTAGTGATGTATAGAAGTGAGAGCTGGACCATAAAGAAAGCTGACCGCCGAAGAATTGATGCTTTTGAATTGTGGTGCTGGAGGAAACTCTTGAGAGTCCCCCAGACTGCAAAGAGAACAAACCTATCCATTCTGAAGGAAATCAACCCCGAGTGCTCACTGGAAGGACAGATCCTGAAGCTGAGGCTCCAATACTTTGGCCATCTCATGAGAAAAGAAGACTCCCTGGAAAAAGACCCTGATGCTGGGAAAGTGTGAAGGGAGGAGGAGACGGGCATGACAGAGGATGAGATGGACGGACAGTGTCACTAAAGCTACGAACATGAATTTGATCAAACTCCAGGAGGCAGTGGAAGACAGGAGGGCCTGGTGTGCTCTGGTCCATGGGGTCACGAAAGGTTGGACACAACTTAATGACTAAATAACAACAAATGCATTCAAAATGATCAAGGTTCAGGGCTGCTGGAGATGTGGTGGGAATCTTCAAGGGCTGCATGCAGTCTGTGAGTCACACTTAGCTTGCCCCTGGTCTAGGGGAGGGAGCCAAGTGTCAGAGAACAGCCTACGCGCACAAGCATGCAGCTCCTTTATGGTAAGCCAGGATTCTCAACAAATTCAGCTTAATGTTGTGTGTAAATGCAGCTACTATATCCTTTATAGGAATTATTCTTTGCTTGGTGGAAGAACATAGTAGCCAGTATAATCTAAAATGTGGGTTCATCGTCTTTTCCTGACCTCAGTATTTTTCTGGATTTGTTGAGACAGGCTTCCAGTGACTATAGTAAGTACACTAGTTATTCCTAACAAAGAATTAAGTCCCCAGTGATTGTCATCGGTGCCAGATCTTGAAAAGTAGCCATGGAGTGGTTCCAAAAAGGACTGGAGAGCAACTTAGGGTGCATGTGAACCAAATTAGCCTGGATCAGGGTCACGCCAATTGGTATGAGGTCCAGACTGAAGGAGAAGAGGTCAATTTGTTTACAGAATAATAAGAACAACAGCCTTTGAACTGCAGAGCAGGAAAGGATCCTGTGGATCATTGAATCCAGCCCCTGTCAGGGAGATCTGTGCCGCTGAAGGATGAAGCAAAGGCTATTTAGATGGATTCAGTGGTTTGAATTCTTAAATGAGATGGGCACAACCAGAACGCGGGAAAGAATCATGTGAATCTTTCTGAGTGATGTCTATAACATGCAGCCTGAGGCCAGAATTTCACTCACAGTGCTAGCAGGGAGCAAATTTTTAAAGGTATGTACTCCACATGGAAACCTTTGAGGTTTGTTGTCTGAAATGTACGTTTACTCTCCTCTTTAGAGTGCATTATACAGTATCTCCCAATTTCACATACATCAGAGCAAAAGTGGAAAAATATAGTTGCTTGGGTTTCCTAGTGCTGATCATCAGGAGGGTTGGTGATGGGAATTCAGATTTGTGGCACAAATCAAAGTGGAAAGGACCTGGATCATCACAGTACGAATTAGGACATATCTCAAAGGAACAAATTGACTGCCAAAGCCAATTGAGGGGCCCTTGCAGAGCCCTAATTTAAAATCACTTTATGAGAAATATGTTGGGAGGGCAACTTTTGATGGAAGTCGTGAAAAATCATTTTGTAATTAAGATCTTCCAGTCACCACACATTTTCTTACACCCCCATGTTTTTAAATAACTTGAGTAAGTTTGTATGTGAGGAGTTGGCTACATGATCTCTCGTTCTCTTGAGTTTCTTTTTAAGTGAATCATGTAATACTGGAGTATATTATTTCAGCTGAGGTAGATTAACCCTGTCTGTTTCAGGTGATAGCCAGCAGGACAGACATCTGTCCTGGTCAGTATCTTAATTTGAGCTGGCTTTGCTTCATGGAATCCATGAAAATGAGTAAGTCTGGACTAGTGTTAAGAGGGTTGGCTCAGGATGCAGGAAGGTTTAATCCCTACTTGGCCATGCAACTCATCAGGTGACCTGGGGCCAATCACAATCTTTCAGACCTGATCCACCTCACAAAGTTGAGCTGAGCTCTTAGAAAGAGCAGAGATGATTCATTTTCATGAAGCTGTGAAGTCTAATGTCCTCAAGATTCAGGATCTGTCCTTCCAAGGAGCACTCAGGGTTGATTTCCTTCAGAATGGATAGATTTGATCTCCTTGCAGTCCAGGGTACTCTCAAGAGTCTCCTCCAGCACCACAATTCAAAAGCATCAATTCTTTGGCAGTCAGACTTCTTTATGGTCCAGCTCTCACTTCCATTGTTACTAAAAACCGCATAGCTTTGACTATACGGACCTTTGTTGGCAAAGTGCTGCTTTTTAAGATGCTGTCTAGGTTTGTCAGGGACGTGGTGGTGCTGAAGGTTAAACTACAGAAGCCTCTGTGCTGCAGGGTCAGAAGACCAGCAGTCGAAAGATCGAATCCACACGACGGAGTGAGCTCCCGTCGCTTGTCCCAGCTCCCGCCAACTTAGCGGTTCGAAAGCATGCAAATGCAAGTAGATCAATAGGGACCACCTCAGTGGGAAGGTAACAGCGTTCCGTGTCTAAGTTGCACTGGCCATGTGACCACGGAAGATTGTCTTCGGACAAAACGCTGGCTCTATGGCTTGGAAACGGGGATGAGCACCGCCCCCTAGAGTCGGACACGACTGGACAAAAAAATTGTCAAGGGGAACCTTTACCTTTACCTTTAAGCTATAAGGAGAGAAGTAAAAGAAAGTTCAGCTATATTATAAGAATTTGACAGCTTGTGATACTGAAATTTCTTATTCTTTTTTAAAAAATAAACTTATTTTTGGTTTATAAATCCTGCTTATTATTCTTGACAATTAGCTGTCATGAAATATTATCCACACATACCACTGGCCAATGCTGGGATGCAGAGTCAAAGCTGTGTAACCAAAATAATACAATTTTGTTATTTTTGTGTGTGTCTTTCAAGGACAGTGTAAATTCAGCTCTTCGCTTTGGCAGTATTTGAGCAGCAAGGGAAAGGGAACACTGGGGCTGTTGGGCTGTTTCTGCTGAAAGGGATACTGCAGCAAAGAAAGTCCCTGTTACAAGTTGAGTGGCAGGGGTTTGGCAATAACTGTCATTTGGTGTCAGCACATGCCTGGTAGAGGAAGGTGTGTGGGGGGGGGAGTGCCACAACCATCACCATTGATGGTGATACATAAACCTAAAGCTTTCAGAATGAAATAATGAAGGCAGGTTCACAGCACATTGTGATATTTCATGATCAAAGATGAAGAGACTCCTTCCACTTGTTTTTAATTGATGGTGGACTTGGAATGTTCTTTTTGTGGTATTCTGTTTTTTAACAAGACAAAAAAAATGTGGATCCAGTAGCCCCCAGAAGTGGCAAGTGACGTTTTAAATAGCCCTTCCCTCCCTTATTTTTCAAAACAGGGTGTGAGGTCTAGCAACTTTCATTTTGAGGAGTATTTTTGGCAGCTTGTGTGATTCCTCCACCCCCACCAAAGATTCCCAGGACTTGGCCCTGGGATCCACCTCAGTTGCCCCCCCCCCACCTGCTGCACAGCAGTGCCTGCCCTGAAGACTGAGGCATCAGAAGGACGTGTGTTATGTTTATTACACAAGTCTCAATTTCAGTTTCACATGGAACTAGGCTTTCCACTCCTACTTAGAGAAGGAAGGAGGCAAATATACTAGTACGTAATATTATAAGGAGCTCCATGAAGCCAGCTCCCTGGAACATTACGATTAATCACTTATGCTTGACTCAATTTATATTAAAAGAAAATCCTCTAGCCTTTTCCACCTAGGAGACTAACGTCAATTCAAAATTTCATGACAGCTGATGACTTAATTCTAGAAAAGATTTTAAGGCATCAGTTTCCTGGCGACAGAAGTATGCAGTCACCAGCCAAGGCTGAAATATTTCAGCAATGCTACGTTTGGAAGAGCGGGGGGATAAAAAGAAGGGGGGAAAGGCAAGGAAATACTGTATACTTTTCGCGTCAGAGGCAGGCATCTACGCACATACCAAATCCTCTTCTTGCTTTCCCTTACGGACTAGAGTTACCGAGCGACAGCCCCAAGTGTCACCGGAGATGGAAGGCAAATGAACGTCTAGGAAACGGACTAACCCAATGCCCAGTGCTCACCTTGTAAACCCTTTGCGATGCAATCTCGTAAAACCCACGCTGACATATTTGTGCAATGCTGAGCCCCAGAACAAAAAGGAAAAAACAACAACAACAACGTGTGTGTGTGTGTGTGTATGTGGGGGGGGGGCAAAGCGAACGATCGTGCTTCCTAGTTATCTCCCACCCCCGCATCCCCGCCTTGGTTATTAGATAATTTCTAAGAGGGTTGGTTGGAAACCTAAGGAGAGCATTAGAGGTTTAGGTACCTGGCTGTGGAGCCAGAGGTTGGGAGTTCGATTCCCCACTGTGCCTTCTTGATAGGGGTTGGACTTGATGACCCCTAGGATCCCTTTCAGCTCTGCAGTTCTAAGATTATTCTAAGATTCTGGGAGGGAGAGAGGGGGGGTGAGTGTTCGGAGAGAAGTGTTCGGAGAGGTTTTCGCGGCACCTTCTCCATCTCTCTGGCCGCCTCCCAAATCGGAGTTTACAGGCTGCTTGAGGTGCATGAAGGCAAACGAGAGAGAGAGAGAGAGAGAGAGAGAGAGAGGTGGAGAGAGGTGCGGTTTTAATAGTTTCTTTAGCTTGTCCGCTCTTTGTGATCTCTCTCTCTCTCTCTCTCTCTCGCCCCCCCACCTCCCCGGATGAGCATCAGATGACAGCTGAACACCGAGGGAGGGGGGAAAAACACACCGCCAGGCTGCCTTGTCGCCACTTCGCCACTCACAGTAGTCTCCGATCCGGTCCGGCTCTGCAGCGCTTGAGCTGCCAGGGAGAGGCAGGCAGGCAGCCGCTCCGTGCCCGGGAGGAGAACGGCGGGACTGCCCCAGCCGGCCGACGGGGCCAGAAGGGGGCACCAGCCAACAAGGGGCATCGGCGGATCGAGAACCGCCGGCGCGATCGAGCGCGATCAGCTCCGTAGCAGCAAATTGTTCCCGCTGCTCGTTCCCTTCCCAACCCTGACCCAGGAGCCGGGGGCGGGGTGGGGGGTAGGGGGCAGAGAGAGGAGAGCCCCGGCAGGCCAAGAAGGGAAGAGACTGCAAAGGAAGCGGAGGCGCCCGGCCAAGGTCAGGATCGGGATCAGGATCGGGCCACGGAGAAGCCGCGCTCCGGCTCCAGGATGCTCATCTTGCTTCCGCCCTGGTTGCTCCTGCTGGAGCTGCTGCTGCTCCCGGTGCCGGCTCACAAGTTCTCCGCGCTCACGGTAAGGCGGGCCACGCTTCCCCTCTTCCTTGCCGAATGGCTGGCTGGCTGGCTGGCTGGCGGGCGCTCTCTCTCCTCCGCCTCCCTTCCCCGCCGTCCTCCGGCTGCCGAAGGCACCGGCCGAAGCGCCCAGCCGGGAGGCGAGCGTTGCGACGGCCGCGGCCAGACGCCTCCTTAGCCTTGCCTTCGCCCTTTTGTTTCCGGACTTTTCCCTCAAAACCGGGGAGTTCGGGAACTCGGTACCCAGCTCTTTCCTCTGTACTCACACGTGCCTGCAAGAGACACTCAGCATCCCTACCCCCCCTTTCTTTACACACGAATTCCTAACTCTCTCCACTTTGGCTATTTCCCCCCAGCAAACGTAATTTCCTACCCTTCAGTAGTCTACCTAGAAAACGTTACTTTTTGGAACGACCAGGGTTCTGGAAATTAAGAGTCCGAAAGAGAGACGTCTTTTCATACCGTGGCCAGTACTGTATTCGAAATCTGTTTCCAAGTTTCAAAGGGGAATAGCCCTAGCTTTGCCCTATACTCGTCTGCTGCCTAGTTGCAGTAAGTGTTGAAGCCGGCAAGGGTTGTCTTGCTGCACAGCTACTGGGGGCATCAGGACCAGAAATCCCTGGGACAGGTGCTTTCAGAGGCAGCGGCCCCACATTTCTGTGTGATGTGTGCTTGCAGATCTTGGTAGGTAGGTGGCCATATCCAGAGGATTAGCAGGGCACAGTTTTTTTTATCCACACAGTTGAGGGGAAAATAAGGGGGTAGGCTTCCCCAAGGGATTTCCATTCTGGTGTGGTGGGTAGAATGAAGGATTAGGGCTCTGCGGTACAGGGTTCGAACCCCCACTCGGCCATGGAAACTTACTGGGGGAGTGGAACTGGTAAAACCACTCAGATATCTCACTTACCTTGAAAGCCTTGTTAGGGTCTCTATAAGTCAGTTTCAACCTGATGGCACAGAACACATACAACCACACAGAGGCTTCCCCACTTGGAATGCATATGTCAATGCTCTGTTGAGTGTGAGAAGTAGTCCAGAAGCTCTAATTAATGTGATTAGTTATTTTAAATCAGACGCATGTACTCTGGGAGTGTTCCCTAAAGTTTGTAGAGTAACTGAAAGCACAGCAGTTGACTCATGAGAGTTTGTGCTCAGGTTGTCAGTCCGACACACCAAAACTTCCAGTTACTGCACCTTCACTTAAGCAAGTTTTGTTCCAATGAAGTCACTTGGATGGAGCAAGTTTATATGAAAGTACAGTGGTTTGTGTGGTTTGGGTTTGGCAGCCTGCAATTTGCTGGAAGTCTTTGGGGGATTAGGCTCCTAAATGCCTTTTGAAAAAGGGACAAACAGTGTGAGCCACAGCTTTAAGAGTTTGGAACACTGATCCTCAACTGGATTACATGGAACAGAAATAAGGCCGAGAGATTTCCGTGTAGTTTTCTCTGAAATAAGTTTGTTTGACTTATGCAGCCTAAAAGTACACTTGAATGCATTTACTCAGAAGTAAAGACCACATCAATCAATGAGATTTCACTTTCTAGGTCTGTCCAAACTTACTGACAAGTTGGGAAACTCAGCCAACTTGCTTGCTAAGCAACCAAGCATTATCTTGATGTTTTGGATTATCACTCCCACAATCCAGACCACTTGCCTTGTTGGCTGGGGCTGATGGGCCGTGTAGTCCAAGGCATTAGCAGATACCAAGTCCTTCTCCATCCTTCAGCCATTAAAGAGGAATTCTGCTCCTGCTTCAGAACTGTTGGATTGTCGCCAACAGGCCTGATCCAGAGAACTGGTCATGCTTTTATGTACTCCATTGAGATCAATGGAATGTGAGAAAGCCCACTTCCTACTGAATGTAAGGTGACTAAGGCATGCTGAGCTTTCTCTGGATTGCATCTGATGTGTTTATGATCATTTCAGCTTCTGTTTCACTGTCGTGTTCCTTGAAGTCCTAACTCTTCAGGCATTCGGTTTAGTTTTATTGACTTCATTGGAATCAGTGTTTGGTGAATGCTCTGAAGAGTGTGGTTTCCTTCAGCCTGCAGAAGAAAGTCTATTGAAATAGGTTTCAGTGATCCCAGGGAAGTCTGCTTCTAAGTAGCTTAAGCCTTGGTCATCAAGACAGTTGATGCTTTTCAAAGATGTTTCAGGCCGATTTCATCATGCTGTATTCCAGCATTGGCTTTGGTGCCAGGAATGAGAAATGAGAGGTCACAGAGGCTAGCAATTCCGTGACATATAGAATGGCTGCCTGTAGGGCTGGTGAAATGTGTTCTAGTGCTCTTGATGGAAATTTCCCATATTTGCAGGGACAATTTTTGCTCAAATTGCACAAAACTGCTGCCTTGTTGCATGGGCTTTTACAACAGAGAAGCAATGGATGGGTTACTTACTTTTTTCTAGTCAATCAGCCAATCCCTTTGTGCTTGCTGTGTGTGTATTGCTTCACAAATCAAAAACAGAGCTGTTTTGCAGAATAAGTGAGTTATGGAAACCTTGGTGGGGAAAAAGCACCCCTCATCTTATTCTTTTGGTGGAAGTGAGAACTTTCACAGAAGCTAGTGGTTTCTGAACCACCTATCTTGGTGAGAAAGGATACTTCTATAGATATTTTTCACATCCTTATTCATGATTACTCAAAATGCCCAGTTCAGTTCCCCTCCCATTACATTCCTTCTTGTGCCATTTTCCTGCTTCCTACAATCCGCCCTTCTTACCCCAAGGAGAAAAGACAGTCTTGCATGGAGGAAGAGGGAAGGAAGAATCGGTAGTTGAATGATCTTGCATTTTTTTTCTGCTGGAGATCAAGGGTCTTGACCTGAGCTAGGAAAGAAGGGGCCATGTTGGCTGTGAAATTCTGGGATTTGTAGTCCAGGAAGACATCTTTCCTAGCTTTAATCTTCGCTACATTTCCAGCAGGAAGTGATGCATCAAATGTATAATTGTGGACTGGCTGTGTGAGCCCCATTCTATGCTGAACTCAATTCAAATTGTGGAATCATTGAGCATGGAAGGGATTGTATTGTAAACTACCCTCACTTTTAAATCCATACCCCATAACCAGATTTGATATTCTGGCATTAGTCAAGCTGCTAGGACAATATAAACATTTTAATAAGGCGTAATATCCATAAAGATCAGGTCAAAGAGACTAGCAAACAAGTTATTATCTCTGTGACAGTAATGATGGTTGTTTTCACCACCTTGCCTATCCACACATAATTAATCACTTGTGGTTGACCAGAGAAAACAGGACCAAATTTAGTCAAACTTTCCAAGTCACGAGATGGTTTCAGACTTAGGTTGCACACAGTGCCCTCGCTCAGCATTTACATGAAAGTAAGTCCTGATGGACTTGAATGAACTTCTGAATAGAGCATATGTAAGAGCAAATGCTGTTTTGCAACAGAGACTGACTCATGTTTGCTTTCTCTTGGTGTAAAAGACTTTGGTAAGGGGGGAATAATTTTTAAAAATCCTAAATGGTTTGCTCCATCTCATTCACCTCTTACATCCTCATAAAGTGTGGGGTGAACAGCAAAATTCATGGCATCAGGTGGAATAGTATGGCTATAGGTCCCTCCAGGCATGAGCCTATCACAGTTGGTCCCCTGAATCCTCAACTCATCCAGCCGCCTTTTGTATGTATTTTGAAGAAAATAAACTAACACCAATCTATTTGACCAAAGACCAACTAATTACTGCTGTGCCTTCATAACCACTGTTTTGATGTTTATTTATCCCGGAAACGACAGCTATCATGCCCCTGCTGTACTGGAGCAAGGAAGCGCAATGCCCAGTCTGCAGGGTGTTTTGGTGTCCTCTCCATGATTGATTTCCCCCCCTTGTTTTGCCTCCAGGAGAAGCAGCTTTTACACACAACAGCTCTGGAAAATTTTGTCTACCTCAAACCCCACCCACCCCCACCCTGGCCATCACAATCAAACCCAGGTTTTGATATGTTGCCATTTGTGCTTTTTATTTTATTATATTTTCACATCTTTTCTGACATTTTCAGGCTCAGGGGTGTTGCTGGGGGGGGGGAAGGAGGATCAAAATTCAGTAGGTTTCTCAGGCCTGCTAAAGTTGTTCACCACTGTATTAGAGGAAACCCTGGGGGGATTCTTGCCCTCCTTTGAACAACTCCCAGCCATGACAATAGAGCTGGACAATTAGCAGCTTTCCAGATGTTGTTGGACTGCAACTTTCATGTCCTTCTCCATTGGCTGTGTCTTAGGTAGGACTGACAGAAATGGTAACCAAGCTATACCTGGAGAGCCACAGGTTGCTCACCCTTGTGCTACACAGGCACAGAAAGGCAGCGGGCTTGATACTCATTCAGCAGCCAGAGCAACTAATGTAGAAAGCACAAAAGGTACACAATGAGCCCAGTCTGTATGCTGTGCCCCGCCTACTTGGTTGAGTCTGATGATCTACAGTAGGTCTGGAGTGTACCGAACTGTGCAGGATTGTAGCCTGAGGGCATGTCTGCATGGCAGCTTCCCGAGTGCTGGCTGAACACTGCAGTTGGCAGCATGGAGCCATGGTGGGAAAGGAATATGTTTACCTAGAGGAGGACAACACAGTCTTGAGGACCTGGAGGTAGACATGTAGCTCTGCTGTAGGCCTTGCCAATAACTTGTCGGTCTGTATGTCCATCTGCACATTTAGTCTAAGGCAATCAGACATGCCAAAACAACCTTCCTGCCTCTCTAAATGAGAAACATCTAGATATGTCATTTTTAGACAACAAGAGGAGGAGATCTTCCCTCTGAAGAGTGCTAGTAGGCCATCCTCGTGAATAGCTGGCAGTGTCCTCCATCCAGTGTCTGGCAAACTGACTTGTCAGAACTTGAAGAAATAATACAAGAATTATGTTGGATTAGCTGTAAACCTAACAATGACCAAGAGGATTTATTCTAGAAGAAAGAGGAAGAATAGCATATACTTCCTTACTCCCAGTTACGCTGGCCAGAAGCTCTGACTGAGTACACC